TATATATATATATATTATACAATATCTATCTGCCGGCTTCTACTTTCCGACATTAATGCATCTCTCGTCTTTCTTACTCGCAGAATTCGCCATTTTTGTTTCCACCATCTCTCTGTTTTCGTCGACGGACGAACATGACCGACAAAGTCTCGACGGTATGCTTATTATCCGTACTCCTCGTCGTCGTCTGCTCCGTGGGTCAGTCCTCCGGTGCTGACGTGGAGGCTCTGTTGGCCTTCAAGTCGTCTCTGGTCAACGCCTCCACCGAGGAGCTGAGAAGCTGGGACGCCGCCGTGGCTCCGCCGTGCGACGCCGGAGGAAACGGGTCGAGCTGGAAGGGAGTGATGTGTTCGAACGGCGTCGTTTTCGCCGTCCGGCTCGAGAACATGTCTCTCTCCGGGGCGCTTGACTTTCACGCGCTCGGCGGCTTACGCGGACTCCGGAGCCTGAGCTTCATGTACAACGCGTTCGAGGGGACGATGCCAGGTGGCGTGAGCGGATTGGTGTCGCTGGTGCATCTCTACTTGGCTTATAACCGGTTTTCCGGCGAGGTAGGGGAGGATGTTTTCGCCGGGCTGAGGCAGCTGAGGCGGGTGCATTTGGAGGGAAACCGGTTTTCCGGCGAGATTCCGATGTCGCTGGCGAGATTGCCGAAGCTGGTAGAGATGAATCTCGAAGGGAATCTTTTCTCAGGGAATATTCCATGGTTTGATCAGAAGGATTTGGTTATGGTTAACGTCGCTAATAACCGATTAGAAGGCCGGATTCCTCGTACGCTCAGTGACATGAACTCCACATTCTTCACAGGTGATCATCATCATCATCATGATTCATGGTTTTTTTTTTCTATTCATTTGATTATATATTATGGTTCTGAAATGGAATTTCAATTGCGATGCTTTGTTTGATACAATATGATATTTGTTGGTGATTTTTTTTTTAAAAAAAAATTATTTATTCTTCAGAATTCAATTTAGGAGGAACTCATTCACTTATTTCCCAAGTAACAATTAACTCTGAACAAGAAAACGAGGAAAAAACACACACTAACAATGATCTTATTATATTGCAATAATAATCGTCTACATTTCATATTCTGGTGTTTTTTTTTCTTTTTAAATTTTATAAAAATATACATAATCCACTTAAATTTACTAGTTCTGATTTAAATTCCATTTTTTTTAAATACATTTATTTTTAAAATAAGTGTAGTTTTATTTGCTTTTTTATATTCTAATGAGATTGCATTGTGATTCGGTTTTATCCAATCATTTTTAGATTATATTCGTTTATACATTCGATTTCATTATTTTTTTATATATAGTAACGGATTGTTTTAAAATTCTATATATATATATATATGTACATGTGTGAAAGTACATTTAATATCGTAGTACGCATATTATCGATCATGCTGAAGACATTTGTCGTCGACGCTTCGACATGTATTTAGTCGTGTGCACGTTGTCACGTTTCCCGCCGGCTTACTTTCCTTACGTGTTCACTGAATGTATAATATTCCTGTTTTTTTTTCAAAAAAAAAAATATTTATTTTCATGAAAATTAGTTGTATGGGCCTCAGTATGATAGCCCAGTGGCCCATTGAGCCCACACAATGGTGTACATTCAACGATTGAGAAGGCTCAATATGTATATTTGATGGGCCTAATTATGACCCACTGGCTCAATTTATAATTTGATTGGGCTGAACAGGTAACAAGGACCTCTGTGGAAGGCCTTTGGGTCCCTGCAGATTCTCCGCCGCTCGTCCGCCGCCGTGGACTGTGGTTCTCCTCGCCGTAACCGTCCTTGCCATCGTCGTCCTCCTCATTGTCTTCCTCGGCGTCTGCTTCATCAGCTTACGACACCGCCACGGCCACGGCCATGGCGTCGCCGAGCAATCCGCTTCGAAAGGCACTCAGGACTCGAAGATCTACAAGAAGCTCGCCGACGATGCCGTGCAGAGAGAGGTGGTTCACTCTCCGTCGTTGGAGAAGCCAGGAGATCAGCGGAAGCTGCATTTTGTACGGAACGATCGCGAGAAGTTCACGCTTCAGGACATGCTTCGAGCTTCTGCGGAGGTTCTCGGAAGCGGCGGGTTCGGTTCTTCGTACAAGGCGGTTCTGTCGAGTGGTTGCGCGGTGGTAGTGAAACGGTTCCGATACATGAACAACATGGGGAAGGAAGAGTTCTATGATCACTTGAAGAAGATCGGGAGACTGTCTCATCCTAATCTCTTACCGTTGATTGCTTTCTACTACAGAAGAGAGGAGAAGCTTCTGGTATCTGATTTCATCCCCAATGGCAGTCTCGCGAATCTCCTCCATGGTATTATCGCTCTTCCTCTTAATTGTTTTCTTCGTAATCATCATATTTTTCTTATTCGATCTGATTTCATGAGTTGTTTGAATTTTGATCGTTTTCAGCTAATCGAACTCCTGGGCAAGTGGTGTTGGACTGGCCGATCCGTTTGAAGATCATCAGAGGAGTCGCAAGAGGACTGGCTTATCTCTACAGAGTGTTCCCGGATCTGAATCTGCCTCATGGAAATCTCAAATCTTCAAACGTGTTGCTCGATCACAACTTCGAACCACTCCTCACGGACTACGCTCTCGTTCCAGTGGTCAACAAGGAACAAGCTCAGCAGTTCACCGTGGCCTACAAGTCGCCGGAGTTCACGCAACAGGACAGGATCTCGAGGAAGTCTGACGTGTGGAGCCTGGGGATTCTGATACTAGAGGTCCTGACAGGGAAGTTTCCAGCGAACTATCTCCGGCAAGGGAAAGGAGCTAACGACGAATTGGCTGCTTGGGTAGAGTCCATTGCAAGAACAGAGTGGACATCGGAGGTGTTCGATAAGGACATGGGAGTAGGGAAGGAGCACGAGGGGCAGATGTTGAAGCTGCTCAAGATTGGATTGAGATGCAGTGATTGGGATATGGAGAGAAGGATTGAGCTCAACGAAGCCGTGGACCGTATCGAGGAACTTGACAGAGATTCAGGTGGGGATCACGAAAGTGTCCGAACTTCATACGTGACTGCTAGCGAAGGTGATCACCGTTCTTCAAGAGCCATGACTGAAGAGTTCTCGCTCATGTAAAACACCACGACCAAGCTCAATCTCATCTAAATCTTCTGATTTTCATTTTCTTGATGTTTGTTGATCAAGTTTGGTGACTGTGTTTAGGTAAGATCCTCAGTTTTCTTTCTGTCACGCTATCGATTCAACTCTTGCTAGTTTAATAGACATTGATTGATGTGCAAAGCTTTGTTTTTTTATGTTTTTGTTCAGTTTCTTTCTTTGTATACTTCATGCCATATTGGTATTGTTCTAGACGAGAAAACATGTCTTCTTCTGTCATATCTTCAATCTGTTCACAAATCGATGCAGTCCGTTATCCCCTTTCCTTGGAGATTTACATTCTTGATGAACATAGGGCAGGGGACAAAGCAAACAGAGTATCAGACAAAGGATTTGTGGCATCTTGTTTTGTAATGTTCGGATATAGTTTACTTGCAGGAAAGGACATCAGGAACTATACTGAAACCTGAGTTCTCCAATATATCTGGTATGTTGAGTTTTCGCCTCGTCTTTTTTTTTTTTTTAAAGTATCATGTAAGTAAGTATCTGTTGATCTTGCAAGCAGACAGAATTTGCCCTCTGTCTGTAAAAGTTCTGAGCTTCTGCTTTGTACCGAGATTGTGTGTGTGTTTTTTTTATAGAGATGGGAGTAACATAAACAATCTTAACATACAAAAGACCAAAACCAATTCTTGATCACTATTCCCTTGAGCTACCATGACCAATCTTCACATTCACTTTAATGCCATTTCCAAAGCTGCTGATTTCCTTGGCGTATGCTGTTTGCCATCTACTGTCTATGTTTAGTTGTTTGCCTAATGCAATTCTGGATAGGATTGTTATGATGTAATACGTTGAATTGTTGCAGGTAGAGGGTACAAGTTTCTGAATTTGTGGGCAAGACCATTGCGCTATATATACACTTTGGTGCCCGCCTTGTCGTTCCTTCACCTTTCAGCTCGTAGAAAACTACAACGAGCTCGCAGTTACAGCTAAAATCTGCTTCGACAGAGACTATGTAGAATTCAACAAGAACATGACCAACATGCCTCTGCAGAATCTTCAACATCAAACTTATCCAGGCCTTAATAATCATAAGGACCAGAAGGCAAAAACCCGTAAACGCAAATGGCAAGACCCTTGATATCCATGTGCAGAGCAAGGAGTTACCTGTATCCCGACTCAAGCATGGCAGTGACAGAGATTGAAGCCGGTCTGAAGAAGGAAGATGACGGGCATGAAGGATAAGAAACATGAACATGATGATCTGAATCTCGACATGACAAAAGCTTATGTATGCGACTTCTGCAAGAAACAAGGAAGATTATGGGCATTCTGGTGCGGTATGCCTGTGACTACGATCCTCATCCCACGTATGTGGAACAACAAGAAACAATCATCGTTTTAGCAAGTAAGTCTTTTTTTTTTCTTTTCTGAAACCTTGCTATTTTTAGTAAGCATTATCTCTGCATGTGATCCTTCGGTGTTGGACACAGTCAAAGTAAATGGATCTCTCTATCTTCTTTTTTTTTTTTGCTAAAAAGATAAAATACAGATTACAGAGTACAAGTTTGTTAAGATCATGTACGGTAAACCTTCTAGATCTGAAACCATAACTTGGTTTTCATTATCCAGATTCTGTACCTGATATTGTGTATATACACACACACTATATATATGTATGTATTATAATTTATACACACTGACACACATATACATTATATCACTATAAATATAAAAATGGAATTGGTTTTAATTAGGACTGTGGAGTTTGTTTTGAAAATTCAGTTACAGGAAGAGAAGTCGGATATCAAAAGAAGGGAAGCCGGCAAACAAGGAGAGGCGCCTATACAGAAGAGAACCAGAAGCAATGGATTTTTAGAAATGCACTTTGCCCTTTCCTCCATATTCGCTGGTTGCAAAAACATAAAAACAAACAACACGCAAGGAAGGGACATCAGAGGGAGAGAGAGAGAGAGAGAGAGAGAGAGAGAGAGAGAGAGAGAGAGAGGAGACAAACCAAGAAACAAGAAACACCATCTTAGGACAACGAATTCTGCTTCTCTCTCTCTCTCTCTCTCTCTGGTGGCCCTCAACGATTTCCTCTTGAGTAATCTCGAACCTTGAGTTTCCTTGGCTTTTTCAAGGTGTCAGCTTGTTTGGGGATAGAAAGAGATTCATACAGCAGAAAAGGAGAGATAGTGAGAATCGAGATGTTGATGGCGAAGAACGGTGTTGGGAAGGAAGGAGGAGCCCTTGGTGGTTGTGGAGCCAATGGGTTGGTAGCAGTGGCGATAGATAGAGACAAGACCAGCCAGAATGCGCTGAAATGGACGGTTGATCATTTGTTGCAGAGAGGCCAATCCGTCATTCTCATCCACGTCAAGCTCCGACCTTCTCCTTTGTCATCGAGCCCATCTCTTAATGGTAACTCTGCAAGTAAGATCGTTATTATCTCTCGCGTTTTTCTGCTGGTTGTCTCTTCCTTTATTCAGTTTCTGAGGTTTTCTGTTTGTATTGTGGGTTTTTTCAGAGCTGAACCAAATCAATGGCGATGCTTCATTGGTATGCAGAGACCCGGAGGGGCCCTACAAAGAATTGTACCTTCCTTTCCGTTGCTTCTGTACACGCAAAGACGTGAGTTCTCATGTACAATGTCTGCTCGTGTTAGTCGTGTCCTGTTTAACCTCTTGTATGCTTACGCATTTGCAACGCACGCCCTTCAGATACAATGCAAAGATGTGTTGTTGGAGGATTCAGATGTGGCAAAGGCATTAGTCGAATATGTGAACCAGGCCGGGATTGAGGTATTGGTGATCGGTACCTCTTCCAGGAACGGATTTTTCAGGTGTTTTACCCGTTTCTCTTCTCTTTCCACATTCAACTTTAGCGGTAACCACCGGTTTTAATATGTTGGGCTTATGTGGAAACTGCATAACTTCTACAAATCCTGACAGCGTATAGTTAATGTGTGTTACCTCCGCAGGTTTAACAAGCCCGCGGATATTCCAGGCACCGTCACGAGGACGGCACCCGATTTCTGCACAGTCTATGTGATATCCAAAGGAAAGATTTCAACTATGAGATCGGCTTCTCGATCACCACCTTCTGTTGCTCCACTGCGTAGTCAGCTTCATCAAGCTAATTCAAAGCCGCCCCAACCTTCGCCCTCTCCTTCCAGTACTAATATTAAAGGTCTTGAACCAATGGAACACCTTTCGGTGCTTCATATCAAAATTCTTTGGTTGTGGCTCCAGCGAATACTGAACATTTAGGGGTGTTACTCTTTTTTCTGCAGCTCAGAGACAGTCATTTGAATCACAGCGGAGATCTGTTGATGATCAATCAGATTCCTCCTTCAGGTACACTGCTGTTGTTCTCATTTGACATGATTGGATTTAACATAAGGTCGCTTCAATGAATTTTGGAATGAAATCTGTGGATGGAAAAAGGTCACCTTTAACAAGAAGAGGCATGCAAGGGAGGTCATATGGAGAACTCTGTGTCCCGGAATCAGACATATCCTTTGTCAGCTCTGGAAGGCCGAGCGTTGATCGTCTCTTTGCAAACTTCAATGATTTTGAACCAAGCCGAACTCCTCCAAGGCTCTCAAATTTGTCAGACACAGATTTTGGCACTAGCTTTGAGGCGATGTCATATGGACGAAAATCATTGGATATAAACTCGCCGCCTGACTTCTCATCAGGCTCATTTGAGAGCGAAAGGTTTTCATCTGCCTCCCAGACAATGGTAAGGCCTTAAAAAGATCACACAGTTCTTGACAGTGACACCACCGCCCAATCTGATTCATGACGCGAATTACGAAATGCAGGATGAAGTAGAGGCCGAGATGAGGAGGCTTAAATTGGAGCTGAAACAGACAATGGAAATGTACAGTACAGCTTGCAAAGAAGCACTCACAGCAAAACAGAAAGTAGTTCCTGCAAACCCATTGTTGTGGCTTTCATTTCTGCTCTTTTGTTCTTCCACTACGAGTTCTGAATTGAATTGGCACTTGCAGGCGACGGAGCTTCAGCGTTGGAAGTTAGAAGAAGAGTGGAAACTGGAAGAGGCACGACTTGGTGAGGAAGCTGCATTGGCAATTGCAGAAAAGGAGAAAGCCAAGTCCAAAGCAGCAATTGAGGCAGCTGAAGCAGCTCAACGGATTGCTGAGCTTGAGGCCCAGAAGAGAGTCAATGCAGAAATGAAAGCCCACAAGGAGGCTGAAGAGAAAACAAAGGCCCTTAACGCCTTAGCACACTCAGATGTAAGGTATAGGAAATACTCCATCGAGGAGATTGAACGTGCAACAGAGTTCTTTGCAGAGAAATACAAGGTCGGAGAAGGTGGGTATGGACCTGTCTACAAGTGTTTCCTAGATCACACACCAGTGGCTGTTAAAGTTTTAAGCCCAGACGCAGCTCAAGGGAGGTCTCAATTTCAGCAAGAGGTAAGCCTCTCAGTTTGATCTGGTTCTTTCCCGAGGTCTTTGCTTTTATTGATTACTTAAAAAACACAGGTCGAGGTGCTAAGCTGCATAAGGCACCCGAACATGGTTCTCTTGCTTGGTGCCTGCCCAGAGTGCGGATGCTTAGTATATGAGTACATGGCCAATGGAAGCTTGGAAGACCGTCTTTTCAGACGAGGAAACAGCCCCCCTCTGTCTTGGCAGACGAGGTTTAGAATCTCCGCAGAGATCGGCACTGGACTGATGTTCCTCCACCAGACTAAACCAGAACCACTGGTTCACCGCGATCTTAAACCTGCGAATATCTTGCTAGATCGCAACTTTGTCAGCAAGATCGCCGATGTGGGCTTGGCCAGACTGGTCCCTCCATCTGTTGCAGACCACGTGACACAATATCGCATGACATCAACTGCTGGAACGTTCTGCTATATAGACCCAGAATATCAGCAGACTGGCATGCTGGGTGTAAAATCTGACATCTACTCGCTTGGCATCATGTTTCTACAGCTACTAACAGCAAAATCACCGATGGGTCTAACTCACTACGTTGAGAAGGCCATCGAAAAGGGGACTTTAGCGGATATGCTAGACCCAGCAGTACCCGACTGGCCAATCGAGGAGGCCACAGAGTTTGCAAAATTGGCGCTCAAGTGTGCAGAGTTGAGACGGAAAGACAGACCTGATCTTGCCACAGTTATCTTGCCAGAGCTCAACAGATTGCGAGTGCTAGCAGAAGAATCAACACAGTCTGCAGTTGTCATCAGTAGCCCTGGACCATCACCCACCACCAGCCATTCTCCCTCACATTTGGTAAGAACCAATCCCCCAAAAGAATAATCTGCAAACCAAATTCGAATACACATGATCAGATCAGAATAATTTCATCTTGGCAGGAACAGATGAGTGATAATCCCATCCCAATCCCTCAGTAAACGTTTTCTCCAAGAAAATGACAGGAAGAATTCATACCTGCAGGCTGCAGATGCAGTCGAGGCTCATGTTCCTACCGGTAGTTACGCCTCAAGGTAAAAATCCTCACCTTGCTCGTAGATTAAAGAGATAAACAGTACCTACCGAGTAGAAGTGTCTAAGTTGTACAGTACATGTGATTACAAACTTAACTTGCAACCTAGTTCAGGATGGAGGAAAGATAATAATACCTTTTTGCCTTCTGCTCTATCTACATGTTGCTGAAAAGATGATCAACAGTGCATTTATACTATAGAACCATTGGATATTATCATAGCAATTTGAAAAATTGGTTATTGGATCTTACAATCAACAATCACTATTGGGTCCTAAAGACAAATATTATTCTGATTGCCAAAAAGAATTTCTTCAAATCCAATGCTCATATCTATCAAACCATATATAGACCACTTTCAGTGAAAGTCTCCTTCTTTGGTGAATTACATTATTGTTACACGGCTTCAACAGCTTCTTCCTCTGCTACTGCTCCATCTTCCTCATCTGCTTTTGGTTGTGCCTTTTTAGGCCTTCCACTCCTTCTAACATTTTTGCTAGACAACAGCTTTAGTGCCTTCTCTAAGGTAACATCACCTGGTTTCATACCCTGCCAAAACACAAGTCGCCCCCCCTCAATGAACATGAAAAAAAGGCTCAATTCATATCATACCATACAACAATTATACAATACATTTCGATATACAAAAAATGAACATTTCATGACATGACATGACCCGATTCATCTGCAATCTTATCGCATAACTGTCATTTCTTCCCATACCACATTATATAAATAGGCATTTTCCAGAGACATAATGTCAGAAATGAGGTAAGATCTCATTGAAACAAAAGGAGGATTCAAGGTTATATATACCCTCGGAACAGTAGCCATAGTGCGCCTATGCCGAACAGTAAATCCAAATTTTCCAAGCTTCAAGAGCACTGGCTGCCCATCCTTAGGGTGGCTTCCCTGGTTAAAGTTTTAACATACAAAGAAATCGTTGAATCAAAACGCTGAAACTTGAAATAAGCTGGTCCAAAATACTTTTAAACAATGAAACATACATACCAATGTCAAAGGGTAGCGTAGTAACTCGAGAGCATCTTCAACCGTGATAGAGTCTACATCTTTTATCTGTCAGAGAAAGACATGAAAGAGAGGTTTTTCCACTACTTAGAAAAAAAACACTCAATCATTATCTTCAGGACAGTTATTGTCTCTGTCTCGGTAAGAAAAAAGCGTGTTAAAGCAGAAGGGAAAAAACTTTAATACATACATGGGAAGCGGATGCACGTTTTGGCAGGAACCCTGTCCTGTCCTCACCAAGTTGTACATAGAACCCGTATGGGCCCTTCTTCAAAAGAACCTGAACAAGGAAAGAAATTCAATTAAGTGAAAATAACTTAAGAAAGAGTTTTCAGAATGATGAAGTGCCTGAGAGGACGAGACCTTTTCGTTGGAATTGGGATGAAGACCCAGCAGCTTTGGCTCTTCTACACTGACATTCTTTGGAGGATCATCATCATCTTCGTTTTCGCCATAAAGTGTTTTAGCAATGTACCTGTATATAAACCATATAACTCAAAAGAAAAATCAGTAACCTAGCCAATATCTTTGCAAAGGAAAGGTCCAAACAGTTATAGACACAGTTATAGGGTGGAGAGTGTATAGTATGACAAGTGGAGAAATCATGAGATTCTATTGTTTACGACTTACTTGCATCTCGGGTGCTGATCACAACCGATGAAATACCCAGCACCAAACCTACTAACTTTGAAAATTAAGGTGCCTTCCATACAACTGAAGCATGAAAAGAAACCGCAAAAGGTCATAGTGTACTCAATATTCTGTAGGAACTACGATACATTGTTTTGGATCGACGAGAACAGTGCATGTATTTTGATAGAGACTTAGATATCATGAAATAACACTTCTACATGAACAGGCTAGATAAGACAGCATGAATTTCTTCAAAAGAAATAGTTATATGACTAGCTTCAAAACTACATCTTGATTGGCATTTCTCATTCAAAATAAGTGAGAGGAACAACATTATGCAGACCTTGGGCATGTCCTATTACTCGGATCAGGTAGGGAAGCAAACAGAAAGTCCCCATATCTTTTTTCTAACATCTTCTCCACCTGCAAACGTATAAAATTTTTAGAAACAAACAAAAACAATATATATCGAGAGCAAAAAAATATGGGGGAGAATGAAAGCTCGAACAGGATAGACTGCCAGTGCCATGGTTGATTCTCGTAATAATAACCAAAAAGTACCTGATGGATATGGACATTTTCAACACGTTTACAATACGAACTGAACCGTGTCCAGTAGTCTCCGAGGAGGCCCTTCCATTCAGTTAAACCAGCTGAGACGTTGTCAAGCTGAAAGCAATGTGGACAAAAAGAATACCCATGAGACAAGAAATTTAGGACATACTACGTCATCATAAAAGATTCTAAGAAACGTATGGCAAATTTAGAGAAGGCCATACGCTAAAAAATGACCAACAATATAAGAAATTAAATAGCCACCTCAGTCTCCATATCAGCAGTAAAACTATAGTCCGTGACCTCTGTAAAGTAGTTGGTAAGAAAAGCTGAAACCTGAAAAAGTAGTTCAAAGTTAGGATAATATGCCAAGATGGTTAACTAAGTCATTAACTACTAAGCTAATACATGAGGAAAATACCATCCTGCCACGGAACTCTGGATATAGTATTCGGTTCTTTAATGTCACATAATTCCTGTCCTGGAGATGCGAAGACAAAAGATGTTAGGATGTTGCCAACACAGGACAGAAAATGAGGGGCAATGGGGCATTGTGTCTCTTCAGACAACTCTAAGTTGCTTCGTAACATCCAGCAGAGTTGAACACAATTTTTAATCATAAAAATCCCTAAAATTTTGAACAGAAGCTTACCTGTAAAACCTTAAAGATAGATGCATAGGTTGATGGTCTACCTATTCCCAGCTCCTCGAGCTTTTTAATCTGAAACACAGAAAAGAAAATGAGTTTACATCTTATGCATAGAGCTACTTGACCCACGTGCAACATTTCATAGCTTCCAGAGTAAACACTCATAATAAATAAACAGCGTGTACTAAATCCATCACCTTCTAAGCTATTTCACTACATTATAAAGATGTGACAAAGAACATACTGCTAATAGAGCCTGATTAGCAAGCATCTTACCAAAACTGATGTGAAATTATCCATGATTGATACTTAGCTTCACGGATTTATAAACATTATTGTTAAACTAGATTAATTTAGCTAACTGGGGCCAAAGAAGAGCTACCGGAGAATCAAAATTGTAAAGCATAGGTTCACCTGGAACCAAGCTGTTTTGAAGAATTTTATGTATTGAATGTGAGTGAGACAAAATTCTAATCTTCGTCCTAAGAATTGAGAAGTGAAGCGCCTAGCAAAAGGTTAGTTAAAAGCCTTGTATAGAGCATGGTGGGCTCTTCTTGCCACACAAATTATGGCAGTATCCTATTTGTCCTTCATCCTAAATACCATATTTTCCCCCTTTTCATACAGAGAATTAGGCATTGGGGCACAAAAAACCTCAAAAATGCAAATCTAATGTACAATAATTTTCTTAGCACGTGAAGAAAATTGCAAAAGTTATACCAGTGACCCCTCAGAATAGCGTGGTGGGTGCTGAGTGTAGTGCTGCTTGAGCTCCACATCATCAACACGTAATAGGTCTCCAGCCTGGAAAGAAGAGGAAAACATAATAAACTTCCAGCTTTGATGATTTTTTTTAAGACAAACAAATGACTCAACTACTACAAAGCAGAACTAAAATTTTGTGTTCTGAAACGCTACCTTCAATGAACTGAGAATCCCGAAAGTTTCTTCGCGTTCACTCATATCATCATCTTTGTATTTGATTGTTTTTGCTTCTGCATCCTGCAATGTCACCGCAAGAAAAGAAAATAACGCTTAATGACAAGTCCAAGGAGAAGAAGGATCATACACCAATAACCATGAAAACTAAAAAGTATAACTGAAAATCTAGAATAGCGCAAAGACGGTTGCAGAAGATAGAAACAGCTGAAACATATATATAAACATATGTATACAAACGCTGCCTTCAAGTAGAGCAATGGAATCAAGAAAATTGTGAATATAAAAATTTCAACGGATCACTAACGATGTAATAGTACATACCTCATAAACTGCCTGGTATCCAAGAAACTCTACTTTTGAGCATGATGATCTGAAGACAATGGTTTGAGAAGCATTTCCAATATCAAGTTGTATCTGAGGAAGAGAGAGTCCGGATAAGACAGAGAAAGAAATGTTCTATGCAAATATAAATTAGCACTGTACTGCTCAATACAAGGTCAAATCCAAATCCAACATGTTCCTCTTTTAACCTTTTTACTCTTTTTTTTAAATAATCATTTTGATCACGAAGAAGCCTTGTTCTCCCTGAATAAGTAGCTTTTGAAGTATATGAATGGAAAGTAAAATATATTTTACCTGCCCAATGGAAGCAGGTTCCATTTGACATGCCATAGTCCGTGACCATATTAAGGTATATAACTTCAAAGAATCCTCATCAAGAATTCCGACAAGCTTTGCTGTAAATGCAATCAACAAAGTCCAAGACTTAGCAGACCAAAGATCATTAGAAAGGAAAACAAAAAACAAAAAATAAAACATTCAAATTAGTATAACAAATGACCTGTTTCTAAAGATAAAATCCTATATCATGGAAAATTTATATACGTACACGGTAACCTCCGTATATCAGTAGGTCTAATAGCTTCATGGGCCTCCTGAGCATTCTTCACCTTTCTAAAAAATTTACGGGGACCTTTTGACACATAAGTCTGCCCATATCTACAAGTAACAAGTCAAAAGCTACTATAGGTCAGAAACCAAAAGACAACATTATACCACTATATCGAGATGCACAAGAACAAAGAAAATACACAAGGAGAAAGGGCCTCACGCCTTGACAAAGCTTTTATACCCCAGAATTTCTAAACCAATTGTTCAATTCATAAATGGATTTATATATCTTAACCTTTCAGAAACTAAGGTCTGAATGTCTTTGACAGCTTCATCAGATATCTGAGGACAACAAAAACCAACAAAACAGAAAACAAAGTTAGCAAATGTTGTAATTTCTCGTCATAAAGAACACTCATTAGTTCAAATGATCGATGGGACACCAAAGTACAGAAGCAATTTAAATCAAAATGAATTTATCATAATAATATAATATTGGTTAATTGAAACCGCATGACTGTCATCAACAGAAAAGTGCAAAGTTCAAGAGACAACCCACATGTAATCCATCTGTTCGCATGTATGTTATGAGACCAGCTGCTTTACCATCACATAACTGGACACCCTCATAAAGTTTTTGAGCTACCTGCAAAGTGTTTACTACAAGAATTTAGACTCGTTGAAAAATAAAACTTATGAGAAAAAATCAATACCGCAGTTTACAAGACCTTCATGGTATATGTCGTTGAAAAATGTAACTTGTTTGCAGCATCCTGCTGAAGAGTTGAT